TTTTGTACTTTGTCTCAGCCATTTGAAAGTTTTTTGCCTTAAATTGCTCGTTTCCAATGGCTTTAATGTTGTTCACCACATCAAGAATTTTCTCAGCCTGAAGGACCCAAAAAACATATGATTATATTTCTAATAATAATGTTACTGTATGCATATTTCACACAAATATATCATTTAACTTAAGATTGGTTTATTATCCGAAAAAAATATGAATTTTATGTATATACTGTTTCTCATTATTAGTGACTAATATAACTGCAGATGGTCAAAAGCCAATGTTAGATATTAAGGAGGTTAAATGTCTGACCGAGGCAGCACATTAGAGAGGTTTCGCACGCGTACGAATACGTGTATGCATACCTTTAGCTATTCGTAATGGTTTGTAGCCATGCTGTCCTTTTTGCAATGACAGCAAAATTAAAGCGTTGGGTTTTAGGCCTAGCCTAGGGCTTAGGCTATTCCATTTTCTTCTCTCAGCATGCTTCTCAAACAGATTGTAGCATGCCCTAAAGTTTTGTTATGTAAGGTTTTAGAAAATTTGAAGTAATAGCCCAATAATATTTCTTCCCTTGTTGCCCAGAAGAGTACGTTATTTTGTAACAAATACAAGACCAATTTTTGTATTTAATAATAATAATAATTTGTGCATGTATATTTATAATACTGATATAGGATATAAAATGCTTTATCAGTTTTATTACAATTCTATCATGATCATAACTATTATTAATTATTATATGTATAAATTATTCTAAAATGTAATTTACATTTCCAGAGTCGAGTCCTGCTTCGTCTGGGCATTCGGGATAGATGTCTCCGGTGCCATCATTTTCAATGGCCGGTATGACCTCATCCGCTGCAACTTCACCACAATCTTCAACTTTACATTCCTGAAATAGTGGAATAAAAACAATACCGTATAAATTTTATCACAATTAATAGTAATAATAAGAACAATAATATATGCTATAATAGAATACAATAATGACCTTCATTGGCTTTTCTCCTTCCTTTTCAACACTTTCAAGTAATTTGACCACATTTATACCCCTGAACACCTTTCCAAACACAACATGTTTACCGTCAAGGTGCGCTGTCTTGGCTGTAGTAATGAAGAACTGAGATCCATTAGTGTTCGGTCCGGCATTAGCCATACTCAGTAGAAATGGCTTCTCATGCTGCAAATAAAAATTATGATTTTCAGTTGTAAAATTTTTTCTACAGCTTTGTCAACACTATCAAATTTTCTTTGACAAAAAACTATTGTATGCCCATATATAGTCATGATGTGCCCATATATAGTCATGATGTGCCCATATATAGTCATGATGT